ACCGGGGTGGGTACGGCGGACGGCACGGGCTTGGGCCCCGCGGGGCCCGGGTGGGTGAGCTGATGGCGGTGGAATGTACCCTTTTGCCGTCCCACCACCCCCTTTTTCCTTTCTCTTCCCTTTTTCCTTCTTCCACTCTTGCCTTTCCCATATTTTCCTTTTTTCTCTCTCAATTTCCTTTGCTCTTCTTCTTTCTTTTCTTTTTCCCCTTTTTTCTTTTCCTTTCCTTTTTTCCTCCCCTTTTCCCTTTCCCCTTCCCATTCATTCCAGTGACTGGGGCCGTGGCAGTGCCCTGTGCGCACAGGGCTCAGCTGGAGAGCTTGGTCGCTTGGGAGTAGATGCCCCGCAGCGGCGCTCATTAAAAAGTTCTGTAATTGGTGCATTCCCACCTTGTTCCCTGCCAGGGCACCTCTGGCTGTTCCGGGATGCAGGGACCTATGACGGGCTGCTCGTCAACCAGCAGGAGCTGTTCGTGGCAGCCCCCAATGTGACCAAAGCTGACATCACACTGCCAGGTAAGGGACAGGACCACACGTGCTCTGGGGAATTCTGAACCTGGTCTCTCTGGACCTGTTAGGATTAGTGAAAAATCAGATCCTCATGAAATTAAACCTGCTCAGACACTGGGAGAGGTGGTGAGGGGTTGTAGGTAGAGCTGTTGTATTGGATGGAGCTGGTGGCAGAGCTCCTTTCAGGGGGTCTCTGAGGGGTTTCTGCAGGTGCCTCATGGCAGAACCACATCGGTCTCGTGAGTGGAGAGCCCAGCCTGTGGCGGGTCACTGCTGCGGGCTGTGCTCTGTGCTCGCAGGCTCAGAGCAGCACTGTTGGCATTGGAGCTGCAGCTGTGGGCCCTCGTGACGAGGCTGTGTTGTGCTTGTGTCTGACTGCAGTGTTCACCCTGAAGGAGAGGTGTCTGCAGGTTGTGCGCAGCCTGGTCAGCCCCATGGACTACAGGAAACTGGACATTGTTCAGTCGCTGTACGAAGAGTTGGAGGATCATCCTGACATTTGGAAGGATCTTCGGCGGCTCTCTCTGGAGAGGAGTGAAGCACTGAGGAACTAAATTCTGGAATAACGGGATTATTCACTTCACACTCCTCATTACAAACCACTGAGTGAGCAGTGAGAGTCGCCAGGACACACACCAGCTGATGCCTCCGTTTAACGTTTTGAAACACAAACTCGGTAACTTTGGTGACAGTCAAATCCCAAAGACTGAACAGCACTGGGAGGCATGCTGGGTTCTGATGGTTCAGTTAATTTCTTCATTGCAGGTATTGCAAACTGTAGGGTAAGATCAGGGCAGCTAAATGGAAAATATTTATACAAAGTAATTTTCATTGTATTAGAAAGAAAATTACACCAAGGATTAATTTAGCCCAGACTAATGGTTGTAAGAGTCATGAGTTTTGTTTGAGTAATTTGTTTTGATGGAATTTCCCTTTCACATGGCACCTCAGTGTGCCTGTGGGTCACAGAGCATGAGGGGTTTGTACATGAGGTTTGTTTTCTAGCAGTGCCTGAGGGTCTGACAAACGTTACATTGGTGGAAAGATGATGTGTAAATGCTTGCACGTTATTCTGCCTCTTACCTTTCCATGTACAAAACCATGTCCTATCAGCTCTGGGTCTGACATGTTTTTACTGTCATCATACCTCAAATGCCTTATTTGCCTTTGTCATAGGATTCTTGCCTGGCTGATCTCAGCCACACAGACCAGACCCTCATTTTGGAACACCCCTGTCCCACACAGCTGCTTCCCCAGCAGCCTGTGCAGGGTTCACAGGAGGTGGAGGCTTTAAGTTCTGCCTTTTCCCCTGGCAGTGCTGTAGTCCAGGTTGTAGTAGGAGGCCTTTTCAGGGAGCGTGGCCTCTCGAGCTGCCTGTGTCTTCTCAGGACCTGTGGGAGCTGTACTGGCTCACACAGCCAGCTCACAAACAGGGCCGTGCTTGCAGCAGGCTGGAGAAGGAGAGATGATATTTCTCTGTGTTCTGTTGCCTGTGTTCTGTATTCCCCACATCTCAGTGGAATGTGCTCTGGTGTGAACACAGAGAGTTCAAAGCAGCATAGTTTAGTGTTACATGAATTGTCCATCCAGCAAGATGTGGTGCAGCTCAGGTTAGAAGCAGATTGGTTAGATTAATTAAAGCAGGTTATTTCTGTGAATATGTTTTTCTCCAGTTGTACATTTTGAGAGTAGCTGTGAAACCAAGAATCTCAATGTATTTTGTAAGTATGCAATGTCTCCCTACTTGTAAACTTGTTTGTGTTATATATTTGAAGAAATTGATCTTTGACATAAAAATGGAAATGCCTGCTAGCTTTCTGACTGTAATTCTGTCAGGTAAGTCCCCAGTGCCTCTGTGTATTCTGTTCATACAGATACTGATGATACTCTGACAGTCGCTGTGGTTGGGCAGTAAACAGACACTCTGGACTGTAGAGCCTGCCCAGCCCATTGCTGCAGGGCTGTGTTGTGGCTCTCATGAACTCTGAGCACAGCTTCAGCAGCGTCTGGGCAGGAACGGGGCTGCTGTCCAGTTCTGCTCTGAGCACCTCTCACATTTCTCTGAGGGGAAAGTGAGCCCATGCAGGGCTCTGGAGCAGACTGGGGTCGGTGCCCCGGGGAGCCTGAGGGTCAGAGAGTGCTGTTCCCTGCTCCTGGCCATTGCTGAGGGGAGGTTCCCCCTGCTGTCTGTGGGGCTGTGCACTGCAGTGAGCATGCCAGCATCGCTGACCTGCTTGGCTGCAGCTTTTCCTGTAACCTAGCTGGTATTAGGTGTTGGGTTTAACAGTCTGTACATGGCACACACCTTCTGGGTATTTCTGAGTTGGGCAGGGTCTGTGATTTCTTGTGTTTCTCATTAGAGTGTATTTTGTAGCAGTTACTCAGATGGGTTAGTAACCAGTGAAAGCTGTCCTTTCCTTGTGGCAGCTGCGTTGGCCCTGGGTGGTTTCAGTCGGTGCAGCACGGCCTAGTTGGGCGCCGCGGGAGCAGCAGAGAGCCGGGGGGCAGCCCGGGGAGCGGAACCCCGGGGAATGAATGCTGCTGACACTGCAGCCTCCGGGGCTCGGGGAGAGCCCGCAGCACTCGGAAAGGGCAGGCCTCAGAGCAGGGACATGCAGCATTGTTCCAGCCTCTGTTCTGTCGATTTCAGTTCCCCAGGAAGAACCTTGTGTTACTTGAGACATTCAGGGCAGGACTGAAGTCATACATGTGGTTGGATGTGGTCTGTCCCCTTGTTTCCAGCCGAGGCAAATAGGTCAAAAGGTTGCACAAGTTTTTCCAGTACCTAAGGGGAAGAAGTATTGTCTTCCTACTTTTATGCAGTTCTTTGCAACACAATTTCAGTCTCATCTTGCATCACTTTCAGAGCATTTAGGTGTGTGTCAGAGGGACAGTAAGCAGGGGAAAGGGAGGGGAAAACCCCATAAATGCAACTATTATATCCCAAGGCAGTCTTTGAGTTGTCATATTTTAAATATAATTTTGGTAGTTTTGTTTATTTTTTCCATTCTTTGATCTTATAGCTACAACAATATTGCATTTTTCAGTTTTTCATTGTCACAGCAGAGCTAAGAAGTTAATGATTTCTGAGGCCAGGAGTGTAGAAAACTGCAAAAGTTTGAAAGTTTGAAAACAAGAGTAAGCTGTACTGTAACATATATGCAGAATACAAAGAAACGCTGAATTAAAAGCTGTCAAAACTTACAGCACTTCTTTCAATTCATACAAATTTGGACCTAGGGCTAAGTATGAACAACAGGACCAGAAGACTGATAGTTACACTTACGTATCTGCTGGCAGTCTCTAGCAGCAGTAGTACGGCAGGAAGGCTCTCCTTTTTGCCAGAAGTATTGGTAATATTTACACTGGCAAATTAATTAATTATACGTTTTTATCAAAATCAGGTTAAAAAAAAAAATCAGAAAAAATTTTTTACTTTAAGAACATATTTTAAACCTAACCCTTGACAAGCAAGACCTGGCGCTGTGACCAGTTCCGATGTTGTTTAGTTCTCACTGCCTGCCTATCGAACCGTACCGCCGACTGTAACGGGT